AATTGTCATTTTCATTGCAACCGTCAATCTTGCATCTCCATTGCAATCCTTATGCCGTCTGATTCCTCCTTGAGGTTCTAACCCCCCCTCCCCCCTCTCAGTTCTCTCTCAGCAAATGGAAGCAAAAGAGCCAATCATCATCACAGAGAAAGAGGAAATGAGAAAATGGTCGAGGTTTGCGAGAGCCCAAGGCAAGACCATAGGTTTTGTACCCACCATGGGTTATCTTCACGAAGGCCATCTTTCCCTCATCAGAGAAGCGCAAAAACACGCACAAGTAATCGTCGTCTCAATCTATGTGAACCCAGGTCAATTTTCTCTTAACGAGGACCTATCAACCTACCCTTCTGATTTTCTTGGAGATATTGAGAAGCTGAAGTCCCTCCCATGTGGTATTGATGCTGTGTTCAGCCCCCGTAACCTGTACGATTATGGAGATGGGTGCGGAAGGAGCCGACTAGAAATGGCGCATAGAACAGAAGGAAATGCCATTTCTTGTGTCGAAGAAAATGGGGGAGGAGGGCATCAGACATGGGTTGCAGTTGAAAGATTGGGGAAGGGGTTGTGCGGGAAGAGTCGACCCATCTTTTTCAGAGGGGTTGCCACTGTTGTCACCAAACTGTTCAACATAGTTGAGCCTGATTTTGCTGTCTTTGGCAAGAAGGACTATCAACAATGGAGGATTATTCAGAAAATGGTGAGCTTCTTCTCTGAAATTTTGTGGTTTGTTTATTTTGACGCGGAAAACCGGATGGATTGCTGCCCTCCACCTTTTTTGAATCATTGTTTGAATTTGATTTTGATCTAGGGACTGACTATGATGTTTGTTTTATGGTTCTTTGGCTTATGTTTGTTCTTTTTCTATATAAAAAAAAGAAAACTAGCTTCTTAGTGATGCCAATGATCATGTATAAATCTGTGGGCAATGTAGAGAAGATGGTGTTACATCTTCTTCCAAGAGTTGCACAGCTGCATTTAGTTCGTAGTTCACTCATTACGTTTTCATACATTTCGATCGTCTGTATTCTGTAAATTGAGAAAGTGTTTCTACTTACAAAAAAAAGATTTCTTCTTTTGACACATTAATCTTCAGGTGCGAGATCTTGATTTTGGCATTAAGGTAATTGGTGCTGAGGTAGTGCGTGAAGATGATGGCATTGCGATGAGTTCTCGTAATGTGCGGCTCTCACCAGATGAGAGAAAACAGGTTTTTTCATTACCACGTATAATCAGTATGTTATGTTTTCCTGAAAGCAACAAATGACAATCCTTTAATGTTGGTTAACACAGACTCTATTTGTAAATTAACTTTACCTTCCCAAAGGAAAGGATGGTATAAATCTTGCAGTGTTTGGCCATAGCCAAGTCCCACATTCTTGCTTCCTACTCCAAAATTACCTACTAACTTCTCTGCAGGGTTTCAGAAAACATGAATCTTATACCAAAACAAAACCTCTTATCTTATCCCCTAAATAAGAGCGTTGGCATCTTCTTAAACACCGTGATATGGCATTGCGTGTTGGCATTTCAAAGCGTTTTTTGATATTATGTGTTGACATCGTTTGGCATTACAAGTCATATTTTGGTATAAAAAACATTGAAGGTCTTTTTTTTGAACAAATGCACACAATTTTTATTCACCACATTAACTGAAACGAGTACAAATCAAACAGCCTCAGCAAGGCTAAACAAGCATCTTTAGCTTAGCCACACCTTCTTTAACTTAGCATTAATATAAACTCTCACATGATCCCTAATCCAAACACTACATTCTTCAGGGGGAATAATATGATTCTGCTTAATTTTGGAGTTACGAGCATGTCATATCGCATAGCATACTGCTGCAAATCTAGCTGCTACCGTTTGTCTCTGCAGCCTTCCCTTGATCATCTTGACTTCCTCCAGCATTTCTTCATTGTTTTTCGCCCTCCATTGGTGTTGCAGCCACTTGCCAACAATACTCTGGACACATTTAGTATAAGCACACTCATAGACTTGTGTCCATCTCCATATATTTGTTCAATCTATCTTTCGTAGGTACTCTGTTTTTCCAACCCAACCATTGGAAGAATTGATGTTTAGGAATAGAGAGCTTATTCCATACCATTTGATATGCCCTAAACCTACTGCAATCCCCCATGAGCCAATCATACCCTTTCTGACTAGAATAATCCCCATTACACCCCATTCCAGCAAATAGGTTTCTATTATTCAAGATCTTCCTCAAATAGTAGCATATACCTGGCTTTGGTTGTAGGTTCCATATGGTATCACACTTGAGGTACCTGTTATGGATCCATTTAACCCACAAAATATCTTTCTTGCTTGCAATATCCCAAAGTAGTCCTTGGTTACATGCCTGGTTCCAGTAGACAAGGTTTTTGAAGCCTAATCCCCCAGCCTTTTTGGGTTTGCATACCTCTTCCGAAGGTTTTTTTTTTGTATATGGAGCATGTGTTAGTCCTAATTCGGTGTTTCTCCCTTTTTTACTCTCTTCAAAATGCCTTTTTTTTCTTCTTTTTGGAATTTGCAGGCTTTATCGATAAGTCGGGCACTTTCAAAAGCCAAAGTAGCAGCCGAGAAAGGGGGGCTGGTCAATTGTAAGGACCTGAGAGATGTAGTTATTAAAACGATAGAGGAGGCCGGTGGAAGAATAGATTATGCCGAGGTGAGATCTCAAACCGATTAAGCATCCCAACACTCCTCTCTCTGATTTGCACTGTGTTTAGATTGAATAAATCTTATGAACTAATGCCAGATCCACAAAACTTTCTTTGTAATGTTAGATTGTAGACCAAGAAAGTCTAGAGCCAGCCGAAGTGATTGAGATGCCTATGGCATTCTGCGTAGCAGCTTGGTTTGGAAGTGTCAGACTGATTGACAATGTGGAAATAAATGTCTGAATGGATGGATCGTCAAGAGAAGACGAGACTCGCCAATCTTTTGGACACGAAGTGACCACTTAAGTTTGGCCCTACATTTTTAGTTTCTGAATTCCTAGATGAAACATTTTTTATTGATAGTGCTAAGGTATGGGAATTCTTTTGCTCTACCTTAGGTGTAGTGGCACTTTCTAATGCCATTTTTTTTGTGTGTGCCATCCATCAAGATAGAACTTTTGGGATACAACGAGGGAGACCAAATTGTCCGGTTGCTCTTTGATACGATTTCCTGATGTACTTCAATGACAGTTGTCTCAAGACAAAGGAGACAAAAACATGGTAAAATAATTAATAATAAATGTCAATGCTTTGAACAAGTGGTTCCAATTATGGAGCAATCCGTCAATGCACTCAAATGTATCAATACCAGTGTCTATTCCTTTGAAGCTTACCCCCTTAGTAAACCATAGTCCCTTCACCCCCCCTAGTGTTTACACTTCCTTTTTAAGGTAACAAAAAGAACTTGAAATGTTTGTATTGCCCTTAATGTTTACTTGCTTTGGATGTCCAGTTCATCGTTGCCCAAATCAGATCACCCCGCCCTCATTATTTACTTCTCGTGGTAGTGTTCATATCCATAGCCAAGCGTAAACTTTTTCTTGATTTAATTTTGGAATTGTTCTAAATCATTTTTCTTGTTCGCCAAGTTTGTGCCCGCTTTTGCATCGGTGGGTTTTTTTGAATTTCATTCATATTTTAGCTTAATCGGTGTTGCTCCTTTTTTGAACACTGCTCATCTTCATCCCAATTCCGATGTGCGGATGGCTCTTTTTGCATCCAAACTCAAGCTCCAATTTGTATGACCACAATGAGGAAATACCTCATCCGTCCTGAAATTGATTACAAGATTTCCACTTTTTTGTGTCTCGAAATTGATTATAGTTTTTCGATTATAATTATCGCACTTTGCTGACATGTGTACACCATAAGGACTAGAATACCCCCACTTTTCATTAATTCCCCCAACCCCTTGTCCTTGAGTAGGGATATTTTGGGAAAGGAGTTTAAAAGTTTTAACTTTACCTTAATATTTGTCAAAAGAGAATCTTGTGATCAATTTTAGGACGGAGGGAATATAAGAATAATAGTCAGCCCCCTCATCTTGAAACTGAGTACTGAATCGCGAAGACGAATATGAGCATTGGCTAAGTAAAGGACACCTCGAAGAAGCTTGTTCCAACTACAGCCAACGATGGTGGTGCGGCTACCGACAGGGGGCGAACTAAATAATGAAGGTGCTGAAAAAGACACAATGATATTTGTGGTGAAGGAGATCCAAAGGTATTTGTGAAATTTTAAATCTCACATTTATTTGTGTGTTAAAATGAAAGTGGACATATACTCCGAGCCAGAAGGAACAAATTTTTTGTTGTAGTCGTTTAGGTGAGATGACAAACTTTCACTATAATAATACAATGTGTTTAGTCTTTTAAAAAGAATAAAAAATACAATGTCTTAATAGGATTCAGTTTGCATGCTATACAGGGGACTGTTTCACATGATATTCATATAGACTACAACTTAAAGTAAAATGTGTAGCAGCAAAAAAAAAGATATCTAGACAAACAAGACTCTGATTTCAAGCATACTCTAAAATTAAAATACTCTCTCCATCTCCCAATGAAGAAAGCAAATAACAAGTTTTAGCTTTCCTACTGTGCCCTTCAATTAAAGATTGGTTGCGGAAGCCATATTCCACAGTTTTAAGGCTTAAGGGTGTTATTGCCTAGGGGTACTTAAAATACTTTCTCCCTCCCACCAAATTTTCCAAATTTTTTTCTTCTGTCTGTCCCAAAATAATTTTTTCAAGTTTTCTCTTTTCCTTTTGGGACAATATATGCGGTCCTAAATACTTATGTTTGGTTCAAAGAATTCGAAAGCAAAAGAAAAAAATGATTTTCTCTCGTTTTCTTCACCAAAATGAGAGAAATTTTTCTTTACCTCCGTATTCCTTTTAGTACATTTTATATTCTCATTTTCTTCTTTTCCCTTCTAACCAAAGAAGAAAATTCTTTTCCATCTAATTTTTTATTTTCGAAGGCTTTTCCTTTCCTTTCAAATTTCTTGAACCAATTTCTTGAACTAAGTATAGTGATAAAGAAATTCTACGTTCTAACCATTCACTTTTATTTTTCAAAAATTTTCATCATCATTTAATATTTTTCTTAATCTCCAAGAAATGAAAGTGAGAAAACTAATTTGGGATGGTGGGGGTATTACCTGTGGAGTGAAACTAATTTAGTTTCAAAAGACTTAAAACTCCTATTTTTATATTTCTATACTTCTTTGATCTTATTCCGAAGATTTATTATAAAGAATTGTAGTCACATTTTTTGGCATAAACTTTTTCAAACATTATTAAGTAAAAATAATCACATATATTTTACTCAAGGGCCGGCTACACCCAAGGGCAGCATGGTCATATGTACAGGGCCCAATTTTGGAGTGGGCCCCATTTTTATATATACTCCATAATATACACACACACACACACACACACATACACCTTGGTTCCCATGACATTGGGAACCAATGTCATGGGATGACCCGGGGGTGCTCCGGTGCCCCGTTCGTAAAATTGACGGTTCCTATCCCCCCTAACCCCCCCGATAAACCCCCCCGCCCCGCCCCGACCCGAACGCACCCCCCACCCCCTTCAATTGCACCCCACAAGTTGATTTTGACTTTGGAGTCAAATTTTGACAATTTACTATTTTTATTATTATAATATTAATTTTTTTAAATACACTAATTCAGAAAATTTATTCTATAATGAAAGAATGACTCATTTTTCTTCATGTCGTCCAGGGCCCCTGATTTTTTGGAGACGGCCCTGTTTTACACCCAAAATTTATGTAATTTTTTTAATATTATAAAATAGTCAGGCATATTTAAAAAATGTTTCTAAAGTAGTTAGAAAGTGAAAATTTTATAAAAAAATAAAAATAAAAATAGGGGTTCTTTTATTGTTGGAAAGTGAGGGATTTATAACATATAATAAAAATATTGATTTCATACAAAATTAAATATGCATGTGTGGAGTGACATGTGTCGTGTGATTTACATGTTGCATGACACGTGTAATTATATATATATATATATATATATATATATATATATATATATATGTATATATATATATATATATTAATATTATTGGAACGGTCGGTTACAAACAGGGGGCCCGTGGTCCGTTAACCTCGTGACCGCCCCGGGGCCCGTTAAAAACCCGAGGCAGATAGCCCACTATAAGAAGCCCAATGAAAGCCCAATATAAAGCCCAGCCCCATAAATCTGCAAACACTTCCGGGGGGTCACCCATTATTTCTCCTACTCCATGGCCAGCACGCTTAACTCCCTTAAAATTCCCCTAAAGTTGCCTCTTCTAGGGATCAACCCTGTGACCATCTCTACAGGGGGAACCACAACACACACACACACACACATACTGTGTAGCATAGAAACGGAGACGGGAACGGAGACGAGACGAAACAGAGACGTGGAGACGGCTATTTTGAAAAAATGGGGAGACGGCATATATATATATATATATATATATATATATATATATATATATATATATATATATATATATATATATATATATATATATATATATATATATATATATATATATATATATATATATATATATATATATATATATATATATATATATATATATATATATATATATATATATATGCTGGTTCAAGAGAGAATGCACCTTGGTGAAAGAAATAAGAATAAAATCTGGCCTTTGAATCTGATGCATCGTGCGGCTCAGAATGCATTCTGCACTCAAATTTTGAGATAGTGCATTTTCAAAGGATTATGGTGCATTTCGACATGATGCATTTTCAAACCATCTTGGTGCACCTAATTTTGATGCAATCCTAAACCTTAGATCTCTCAATCTAATGCACGAGATTCATTCTTATTTTTTTCATTAGATTGCATTCTCACCTGAACCAATATATATATATATATATATATATATATATATATATATATATATATATATATATATATATATATATATATATATATATATATATATATATATATATTACTCTTTCTATCCCACATAAATTTTTCCATGTGTGTAGTATTTTATTTGGATCATGCATATCTAACATTTAGAAAAAACTCAAGAATTAAATCTAAGGCCCACATAGGGATAGAAGCTCAAAAAATAATAGGAGGAAGTGGATATATAATAAGCAAAACAGGGAAAACAAAAAAAACCCTAGCAAGCTACCTCTAAAGGAGAGATAATGATCGATTCTGGACTCTTTTCTTCTCTCTCTCTTTTGAACTTTTTCTTTTTTCCTACTTTTTCCTCTTTCCTATTATATCGTCTCTCGTGTCGTCCAAGCCGTTTCGGAAAAGGGAGACGCGTCTCCCCGGCGTTTCCCCGACGTCTCCCAGCATTTATTTAAATTTTAATTTAAAGAAACGCCACTTGGAGTTTCCGATACGTCACTAGGCATCTCCGACGCGTTTCCGCGTGTCCAAGGTCTCCGTGACGGGTACGGCATGCTACCTGGCGTTTCCGTGCAACATAGTATATATATATATATATATATATATATATATATATATATAGTATATATATATATATATATATATATATATATATATATATATATATATATATATATATATATATATATATATATATATATGGGAGTGTCTAAAATGACAACAATTACTTATATACCAGTTGCTTACACTAGTTCGTTTGGGGTACCTATGGTGCTCCGTTTGTAAAAATGACAGTTCCTACCCCCTAGGGTTATTGGGGTAGGAACCGTCCCGTCATTTTTACAAACGAAGCACCGTAGGTAGGTACCCCAAACGAACTGGTGTAAGCAAATGACACTAGTAGCACTAGTGTTATTTTAGACTTACCTTGTATATACTAGTATCACACCCATGCGTTGCACGGGTCATTTTTTATGTTATTAAATTCAAATTATTTTTCAATAATAAAAATGAGATGCAATAGAATATAGAGATTATATTATTTTAAAGTGAAAAACATCACTGCTTTACAATTTTCGAAAGACTTCTTTGTAGACTACATTATATGTACCGTTTGTGGGAATATTGTTCATGCTTTTTAGTTCATGTATGAAGACTACTTTCAAGTTGCTAGTTCTTGGATCATCTCTTGATCTTGATTGTGTTGACACGATACTACAACTCTGGGTCAAATTATAACTACTTGACATTAACCTGCATGATTAGAACTGCCATAAATTTTAACCACACGTTGCGTATATTTTAAAAAACTACAAATCTCCAAGAATACATTTGGACTTACTTTTCTCTAAAAGCTCTAACTTCATCACAATCGTCGTTGAGTAAAACTTTTCTCAGAGAATAAAATGTTGTAAGAGACACTTGCTCTAAATGATTAAAAAACAAACAATTAGAATTAATTATTTGGGTACATGTATTTCAAAATTAATTTGAATTACTTTATAAGAATACCATAACGTACAATTTAACTGAGCACCCTTACAAAAAAAGGTTAAAATTAATAGTAATATTTATCAAAAATAAATAAATAATAAATATTTTTGTATTAGCAACTTTAGAAATATATTTGCATATACTTTCTTTAAGGTATATATTTGCTTAATATAATTTTCCTTCTTTTCGAAATGCATTTAGTAATTTAAAATATGAAAGTATTTACTTTCTATAATAGTGGATGCAATTAATAAAATTCCGTAAGTAGGAAAGTATTACTAAAATAATGACTTAAATATTAATTAGTTACTAATTAATATAAATCTGGAAATTAATTTTTTTTAATAAAATGAATTCGGGTTTTAAAAGCCACATACATGTGATCCTCCAAGATAACTTCCATGAATTGCTCTAGAGCATGATTTACCATACGGGTTTCGGGAGGGGTTTGGCTAACAACCTTCCCGATTATATCACAAAGTCCAGAAATATAGAATTTTATAAATTTTATAAACATAATTTATTAAATGTATTTCATATGTGTAAGTATTTGAGTTATGTAAATGTAAATGACTCTTACCAACTAAAAAGACAAGTGTCAACAATCTTTGTTTTGAGTATATCTTGAAAACTCTTAAAGTTGTATCCAAAATTAGGAAAACCATTTTCGAGAGTTTTTGAATCATGGTCCTGCCAAAAAACTGCAGCATGTATGGGTGAGTGGTAGTTTTTGTGCGTTAGAAATTGCGCATAACCTTGGCTCTCATCACTAAGTAAACAACATTTTCTTACAAATCTTCTTTGAATGTGCGTCATGGATCCGATTGCCTAACAACAAATAGAAAACGTTTACATATAATTAAATTCAATTTTTTTAGAGATTTATTTGTAAAATATAAAATAATGAAGAACTAACCTATGAGTCGTGAAAAATAACATCTAATGATTCCGGCCCCCGAGAATAAGCAGGAACGTGATAAACTCTTAGCGCTCTTAGTTTCATCATTGATAGTCCTGACCTCTCATCAACATTTTTTAAAGAAGTTATGATCCCCATGTTCGTACAAAAAACGATGTTGAAGCACCGAATTAAAATACACATTGATTAATCTTACTATCTTGGCTTGGAAAAGTACCATATTTATAGTATATAAAATTGTCATAGGCTATATGCTATTATAATAAGAAGGGTTAAATTTTTTTGAATTTGGGTGTATAAATATTCTACCATAATTATTTTTTACAAAATTGGATGTATAATTGTATAACTTACCTTTTTTAATTATTTCTAATTTTCAAAATATTACGCTTTGCAATTGTATAACTTACCTTTATTTAAAACTTACGCTTTGGATTTGTATAATAGGCTATTATATATAAGGAAAAATTATCACCAATAATCCCACCTTTGCCCTCTCTTTAAAAAATAATCCCACCTTTCCGAGTGGTCAGTAATAAGCCAAGGTTGTACCGTCTCTGTCAGAACTGGGCATCCGTTTAAAGCCTAACGTACGACTAACGGTATCTGATTTGGCAATTACACGTGGACTAATACAGATTAATACATTAGACGACATATTTCTATCCCTAAGTATCGACATCCGTATTACGCGAACCTTCTCAGCGGCTAACCCTAATTGGGATCCAGAGCTCTCCATCCGCCATAGCCAAAGAGGAAGAAAAAAAAAGAAAAAATCAGGTATGCACTAGTATTTCGTTGTTTTTCCGTTGGATAGAAGCCTAACCAGAGATAAAAGTATATTTTGGAAAAGTAGAAAATGAAAGGGCCAAACTGATTTTCATTGGACCGATGCTCATTGCTCAGTGAGAGTAAAAATCAAAGAAGGGTTCTAAATTTTGTGTGGGACGAAGAATAAGACTCACATATTAAGGTATTACTAATATTTTTAGAATCACACTCTAAAAGTACATTTAGACCTAGGGTTCCATAATAATATCTCTAATTGTATGTAAATGATCTATTCTGTGATGATTATGCAGGGCAAAGAACATAATTTTTTCAAGGAAATATGAAATCAATCGAGAATTCACTTGCAACGAAGGGGAAGCT